GCATTCTGTGGCATGAAATAAAAATAATAGCATGTACGGATCTAGTAGTGGTCGAAAGGGGGGGGGTACTTTACGAAGGGCGGTCTGGACAATAAGGAGTTATGGTCTAAAATCAAATTGCAAAAACCCAAAAACTTAAAGGAAAATTCTTGTTCAAAATACTAAATGCTGCGAAAAATAAATTAATACGGTTTTAATACACAGGTATTATAGCCATATCATAAATCCAGGGGGATGCCCGTTCGTAATTTGTCGGTTGATAAAGCTTCTTCATACAAACATGTATCTTAAAAATATTTTTTAAAAAAGCTCAAAGGCTTCTCGAGATATTGCTCGAAACAAAAGTGTAACAGACGGACAGAATTATAAGACGAACGGGCAGACCGAAATTAATATCCCCAACCTTCGGGGGGGGGGGGGGTCGGCGCAAAAATGGAAGTTTAGTGAATTGTGTTTTTGACATAGTTTAAGATATATTTATTTATCTCATACGTGTGGGTGATACAGGCCGTTGGATAAACTTAAGCTTTATCAACGGGTAGATGCTTTATCAATAGCACTTCCGGTTTTGACACGATCCCTCGCTTCAAGATTTTCTTTTTATTGAAACTTTTATTTTTGAAAATTATTGCCCTTATAAAATGAATGATGAAGGGAATTAATATCGTTAAAAGCAAGAAAAAGACTTGTATATGTCAAAAAAGTGTCTTATTTTATCAAGAACCTGTAGATCTATTTGGCTACTTGAAGACATATGTTACAACCCCCCCCCCCCCCCCCCTTTAAATCGTTTTGGGAAAAGGTAAAGACTAGCAGTTAGACTGTTGTTATAAGATTCCTGTAACATCTTCAATAATGCTTTCTTATATTATACAACGTATGCCTACCTAGTACATGTAATGTAGGTGTAACTTACCATGGATCAACAATGAATCTACAAAGCCTTGCCTAGAACGTTTTGTACAGTACTGACACCGTACAAAGAGTTAATTTTTACGATCCCATGGTCCTTACAACTTTCAGTCAGAAGTTCGTTTGATGTAAAGATCCAGCAATTGTCTCATAATGTTTTCAAAGATGCAGATAACAAAAATTTTAACTTTTGAACACGATCTACTTCCTTTCGAAGCATGTCAGTTCATCAACGGTGCTACGTCATCAAGTTATACGAAATTAATTTGAATTGGCAATCATTCATGTAGTTTTGCAGGGAAAGTCTCAAAGTTTTGTTACAGAACGAAAGTTGTATGAGATAAATAGAACATCTATAATTGTGTGATTTGATATTGGCTTTATTCAACTCGTTGAAATGGTGTATATTGGCTCGGCAAGCCTCGCGAATATATACACCATTTCAACTCGTTGGATAAAGCCAATATCAAATCACACAATATAGATATCCTCTATTTATTCACCAATCAATCAAGAGCCCTCTGGGGGCATATACAAATACAATTAAGAAACAAACAATATAATCATTATTATAACAATGTAAAATTGACATGATCCTCACTTGTAAAAGTTCTCAGGTTTGAAATACTGATATACTGGGTAGTTGACAATGAAATATTAGCATTACATATAATATAATAATAATAATAAAATATGAAGAAAAAAAAAATAATAATAATAAAATACCAAGCCCTTTATACTGCAATGACCAGGCGGATAATACCAAACGAGTACATGTAATCAAATTATTATTAATAATAATATTATTATTACAAAAAGTATACCCGGTATTTTGTTGGCCTGGTAGCATAAGGTACCATGGGGCGATGCCTATTGAGCAGTCTGGAAAAAAAATGAAAAACCAGGTTGCTCGGTCTTGTACCTCAAGCAACCAAGAGAGCTTGTAGAAGGAAAACTTAATTTGTTGGCCTGACTACTTGGGGCACCAAGGGACGGTGCCTATTGAACAGTATGACAATACAGACTGTTAGTCTTGTACCCCAAGTAGCCAGGACAGCTTGGGGGTACAGAGGATCCTAGTATATAACTTGAAATGTAATGCATATATTTAAGATACACTTCTTCAGAAATAAGATTCCATTGTTCTGAATCATTTTACAAATTTGAGTAAGAATTTCAACATTTTCATTGGTCATTAACCATATTAGTTTTTGGTCATTTTCTATCTAATCAAAATTCTTACAATCTTTTTCTGTTATCTTATACAAAATAGCCCTTTCTTCCTTTACATGACTACATATGAATAAAAAATGTTTTTCATCATCAACTAAACTGTTGTTGCATCTCTGACAAACCTTTCATGTCGAGGAATGTTTTGATATCGCCCCCTTCTAATTTGGAGTCTATGGGCTGATATTCGAAAGCGAATTAAATTTCTTCTGTTCTGTGTTCAAAGTTTTTAATTGATCTTAAATAATTCTCAAGCCAAAATTTTGTTTAAAGATGCAGTAGTTTCTTAACTTTTTGTCAGAGTTAAGTGCAAGATGAAAATGCCATACTTTAATGTAGTGTTTAAATAAACAGTTTCTAATGACAGTTTTAATTTTATATGTTTTTACTGAAGACAAATCTTTAATTCCCATGATATTAGAAATAAAAGATATATGAGAGGAAGTTCTATATTAGCATGCCATCATAGGACCTATGTACCCCTTCCCCAACCCCTGGACTATATATAAATCCGGGTCCAAAGATTTTTTTTGGGCTTTCTTTCATTAATAACATTTAAAATTTACAACATACAAAATTGATACCTGCAGTTAAAAAGTCAGAGGTGATTTAAGATACTACGAGCATGATTTTTTAAAATAAAAAGTGAATTGTATGCACTTTTTGAATTTTTCATATGAAATACATGTAAATATGTACTAGACGGTTAATTTATGAAAGAAGACAAATGTGAATATCTTGGGACCCGGTATGTATATTGGGTTTAGGGGTGGGGAAGTTGTTTGGTCAACAAGCATATGTGTGCACATACTTTTGAAGGATGCCATGACAACTAAGTGACAACTAGGTTTTCATATTATTCACACTTTTAAAAGTCCATATATATTATTGTCGGTATTCTGGAATCAATCTTTTTTTTTTTCGTTTTACAACAGGAGGATGAATATATATTTTTCCTTACATATGAAACAAGTTATAATTTCGGTTATAGTTTTTATATGTATATTGGACCTTCGGTCAAAATAATTCTGTGTGTGGTCAAAAGTACATAGTGTATCTTCTAATTTTATATTTTGACGAATAATGCATGGTTAACAAACAATGACATTGTGGAGCATAACTTTAAGACAAAGAAAAGAACTTTACTAAGAAAAATGCACCACTTTACATAAATACATATTTTCAGCCTTTTTTATAATTCACACATATAAACAGATATACATGTGCACACGGTCGTATATAGGAAAGGGGTTGAGGGGCTGGGGATAACCCCCCCCCCCCCATAATAAAGTCGATAAATAAACAATGTAATATTATAGAAAACTTAGCTACTGTATACTTGTGCCCTCTCAATAAAAAAAAATCTTTCATTTTGGCTTCCCAAGGAATTGTTTGGTAGTGACTCTAAACATTTGGTTGTGCCCCTCCCGCCTAATCTGAAGAATCTCTCTCTCTCTCTCTCTCTCTCTCTCTCTCTCTCTCTCTCTCTCTCTCTCTCTCTCTCTCTCAATACAAGACACTTTATAAAGCGCACTACCTATTTACTTGATTGCACGGATTTATTTTTTTTCTTCAAGCTGTAAAAAGTAACCTTTCCCCATATGAACAAGGCGCACACTACGAGTAGTTTGTATACTCATGACAAAAGTGTTTCCTAATCCGTCTGAAGTATTATGGTGTATTTTCTTCTATTTGTTCGCTTTTTTTAAACATTGTAAGTGATTACAAAAATTTTGACATGAGCAATTTTCAAAGATAAGGTGGTTAAAACACTATCCGTTCTATTTCACACATATACTTATTTCTTCTTCAGATTTTAAACTTTTTATGGGTACAATTACTGGTCCCGAGAAAACTATCGAGATACGAGAAGTTAGGGAGAGTTACGTTCGTTCGTAAGATGTCGGTGTTTCTCTATTAAGAATTAAAATAACTGGATAACTATCACGACGATACTTGTTTTTAAAAGCAATTATTTTTCAATTGATTAAGATTCTAGTATGTGAATATATAACTAGTATTACACATTAAGTATACATATTGTCATGAACCCACTCTTTATTGAAGGTACTTTATTCTCTTGATCATTCCCGTTAAACACTCCCCCACCATTAACTCCCCCTCCCTAACGACACACACGGCCCGTGGATCCCGTATCCCCTGATCAGGAATGATGTACCTCAGGAATCGGCCGTCCCTGTCCAGCATGTGAATCTTGTCACCTTTAAAGTCCGTGATGATGATGTGATGCATGCTGTCTGTGTTAAGGGAACTGGCGTCAAATTTCTCATTTGATGCTTTGTTCCCTGTGTAGGAGAACCTGAATATTCCGAGCTTGTCAACGACTGTGACGGCATCTTTATCGTAGTCAGCTACACAAATGTCGCCGTTACCATTCTCCACCACGTAAACTGCCCACTTAAACAGAGACTGGTAATGGGAGTCGTACTGGATTTCCTGCAGCACGTCACCGGAACTGCTGAATCTTACGACCTTGGACTCTGTTTGATCTGTTGTCCGGAGACAGACCAGGAAGTCACGTACCGCAGTACAGGTGATACCGAAAGGAGTCCACTCTCCGGTACTGAACAATGTGTCTACTTTACCGTTTATAACCTTCTTCACGGTCTTGTCATTTAGGTCTGTGTACACCACGTGTCCATCATAAAGAGTCAGATACAACCCAATAGTCGTGATGGTGACAGTGTCGTGGTGACGTCCGTGAAGATCAAACAGCTTCAGCTCTTCACTTGCTCCTCCTGCCCACACTCTGTCATCACCGAGGGGAACAAGGCCATACAGCCGGTTGTTTATTTTGTCCTTTGGAAACTCTGTATCAAATGAGGACAGAACTGTAGGTACATCTAGAGCTTGTCGTGATGAAGAGGTTTGATATTGTTGTGTTAAATCGTCAATTGGCAGTTTTTGTGTCTGTAGTTTCTCTATGTAACCGAAGTTAGAACTTTCATTAAACTTCCAAGGTTGGAAGAACGCTGGCCGTGTTTCTTCTATAAAGGATGGAATCTGTTGATTCTCAAGTTCATGCTTTAAGTCCATTAAACCAGAGGCATCTTTGGATTTTGCAACACTGTCGACTTTTTCTTCAAGATTTTTCAATTTCTTAAGTATTTTGTCAAATTCCTTTTTCTGTTTAAGTAATACTTTTGCATGTTTTTCTCGCAATTCATTTAGCTCCTTGTACATTGCCTTCTCTGCTTTATCAATTTCCTTATGCCAGTTTTTGGCATGTAATGAAATCTTGTCTTTTGTTTGTTTGTAAACACGTTGAAGTGATGCCGATCTTTTACCTAAATGTTCCAGAATTTTCTCAAGTTCTGCTCTCGTTAACTTCAGCCGTTCGTTTTCTGTCGCGATTAATTCGGATAAGTCAACTTTCTCGGATATTTCGCATGTATCATGAGTTCCATGTTTTATTGATTCACAAATGACACAGATAGGAATATCACACGTCTTGCAGAAGGCGCTACACTTTTGCTGGGGATGGGTCAGGCATTCTCCATATTCGGGTTTGGTTTGTTCGTTGTATTTTGTAACATTGTGGCCATTTTTGGATTTGAGAAGAATGTGGGGTTCTACACATGCATGGCATAAATTTACGGCGCATTTTTTGCACGTTAAAATGACGGGACTTTTACAAACATTGCATTCTAGGTAATGTTGCCCTTGTCTTAAATTTGAGAAAGCCATTCTTTTATCTAGAAATAAAATAAGGGAAAAAATTCAATTATGAGTGTAAGAGTAATTTAGATTAGGAATAATTTAATGGAAACAAAGACATGTACCATCAAGCACAAGCTTTAAGGCCATACACCAAAACGAGACTTGTAAGCTTTAACATAAATTTTACCATGAGTATTGCCGAGATCAAAGAAATTGTGCGGATTTATTCTCAAATAAATTACGAACGTCATCAAAATATTATCAGATCAGAAACACGTATCAAACTTGTACAGTTGAAATAAATATTTGACTCTAAAAATGAAAACTGATTTAGACTCATCGATGTGTCGTCTTTCAGAGTCGAAATACCGTGTAAATTGCATCAATAAACTGCATGATGAATGAAGGTTTTTATAGCTACACGGGGCTGTTCCACGGACCTCCCCAGCCATATTTTAACTTCGTGATTTTAGTGCTAAAGCAATGAAATAGAAAACTAATTTTTAATTGTACACCCATGATAATAATTAATTCATGGTACAATCAAATTTATAATAAATAAAAGGCTATTATTTTAAATCCTCTGCCTTCCAAACGAGGTAAAAAAAATTTACTCTTTGATGTTAAATGGAACAGCGTAATTGAGACATGATGACCTAATTCGTGTCTCTAAAGAAAAAACGATCAGCCGAATTTTAAAGATCTTAGAAGAATAGAAAATAAAGTCCTAGTTGTCATGAATGATGCAGGATTACCTAATCGGTCTCGAAATTTTTTTTGAAAGATAATTAAAAGCCTCAGCTTGCCTCAAAACACGCAAGAAAACTCGGAAGTTCTTCCCTTCCACGCAAAGGGACAAGTGAAAATCAGTCCAATATTGAGGACTTCCTAAAAGATCTCAAGAAAGGTCGCAAAAAGAATACAAGTGTTAATAGCAAGAGTGATGCCGGATAAGAACAGTAAGTGAACACACTACAACACCCTTTCATGGACAATCCTACTTTAAAACTTTACTCCCTAAATGTTCGAGGTTTAAATACATACAAAAAGAGAATATTGCTGTTTGATTGGTTAAGAGATGCAAAATATGACATAATTTCTTACACGAAACTCATTTTATAAAAGAACAAGAATCCTTTTATAACTCTCGTTGGTTTGGACAAATTACACATTGTTTTTCTGAATCAGTATACAGTAGGGGTGTATCAATTTTGTTGAGAAAAAATTGTAAAATAGAGATCTTAAATCATTCTAAATCTTCAGATGGTCGAAGACTATTAATTAATATTAAATATAACGACCAAATTCTAACACTAGTGAATGTCTATGCTCCTAACAAGGAGAAAGAAAGGGTTGATTTTTTCAAGAGAGTAAATACGTGGATTAATCAAAACGCTATGAACTTAGACAGTATTATATTTTGTGGTGATTTTAACTGTCAACTTGATATAGATAGCAACGACAAAAGTATTAATATCTTAAAGAAAACTTTGAAAACGCTCTATTTAAAAGATTCTTGGATGTCAATTGGAAAAACTTATAAGCAAGGTCTAACTTGGTGTAATGCTGATAATGTTCCACAAAGTAGAATAGATTATGTATTTATATCGGAGCACCTATGTTTCCCAATAAGTGATATATATTTAAGAAAAGCACCAAATGTCGATGCAAATAGATTTTCAGACCATTTGGGTATATTACTTGAATTATTTATATGTGAAAATTAAAAAGGTGCTGGTTACTGGAAACTTAATACATCGCTTTTAGAGAATGAAGTATTTTGTAAAAAACTAAAAATCTTCATAAATGAGGAAATTAGAAAGTTAGAGATTAAAGACCCAAAAAGTAAATGGGAGCTTCTTTAAATAAGTATCAAAAACTTCTGTATGAATTACTCGAAAAAAAATGCCAAATATAAGAAGATGCGTATAAATTTTATTGAATTACAAATAAAACAATTAGAATCTAAACACTTTTCTGAAATAAATATGCATTATAAACGATTGCTTGAGAAGGAGATTGATGACTACTACGCCGAGAAATGTAGCGGGGCTTATATCCGGTCTAGATCTATATGGATAGAAAAAGGTGAAAAAAGCTCTTCTTACTTCTTAAATCTTGAAAAGAAGCAACAATCAAGTAATACGATAAATAAGGTAAAAGATGAAAATCAATCTCAACATACTGATAATAAAGGAATTATGGATTGTCTTATAAAGTTCTATGAAAAATTATATACAAGTAAAGATATATCTAATGGAGATATCCAAACCTATCTTGAAAATATTAAGTGCCCAAAAATCTCCAAAAATGAAAGGAAAGCGTGTAATGAACTGATTTCAATGCATGAATGTGAAATGGCTGTTAATTGTATGAAAAATAATAAATCTCCAGGACACGACGGATTATCAGCTGAATTCTATAAAGTTTTTTGGAATGATTTAAAAGATATATATTATGCCGCCTCTCTTCCCAAAAGCATTGAAGTAGGAATGCTGCCGTTTTCTCAAAGAAATGCGGTAATCTCATTATTCTATAAAAAAAAAGGCGAGAACGACAACTTAAAGAACTACAGACCTTTAAGTCTAACTAATGTTGATTATAAAATATATGCACATGTATTATCTAACCGATTACAAAAGATAGCCAGTAAAATTATTAGCCGTGAACAAAGTGCATATATTAAAGGACGATATATTGGCGAAAATGCTTTTGATTTTGGATGTTTTTGAATTTTATTCAAAAAATAATTTAGATGGAATATTGCTTTTTCTAGATTTTGAAAAGGCTTTTGATTCTATAGAATATAATTTCATGACCAAAACCTTAGAAAAGTTTAATTTCGGACCAAATTTCATTGCGATGATAAAAACGCTTTATAATAAACCTATATCTAAAATAAAAATAATGGATGGATTTCAAAACCATGTACAATACAAAGAGGAATCCGTCAAGGATGTCCGGTATCTGCTCTATTGTTTATTTTTGTTTTAGAAATATTAGCTATACAAATAAGAAACGACAACGATATAAAAGGAATTTCATTTCAGAAAAATGTGACTACTACCGATGATCTGAAAATTGTGCAACATGCCGATGATTGCACAAATATGTTAAAAGATACAGAGTCTTTCAAAAAAGTATTGAAAATAATTTCAGAATTTTCGAAAGTTGCTGGGCCGAAACTTGATTTAGAAAAAACGGAATGTCTATTAACTGGTTCCCTGATAAACGAGTTCATCGATGAAACAAATATTCAGGGAGTTAAAATCGCGAAAACGTGTGTGAAATCTCTGGATATTTATTTAGGACATGATAAGGCTGAATGTTATGAAAAAAATTGGACAAATAAACTTGAAAAACTTGAAAAGATACTTAGTGTATGGAGAAGACGAAATTTAACAATTTTCGGAAAATGTACCATAATAAACACATTAGCTATTTCTAAGATATCATATAATGCCTTCATATTACAAAATCCAAATGTCGACTTTATTAAAAATGTTTCAAAGGTCATATATAATTTTATTTTGAAGAAAAGAGATAGGATTAAAAGAAATACTCTTATTGTTAATGTTGAGAACGGTGGAATCGGAATCGTTGATGTTGAAAGCAAATTTCATGCCGCAAAGGCGTCGTGGATTAGCAGAATAGTTAATATTGAAAGTGTTACGCATCGAGTTCTAAATAGTATTTTGCAACAACACAATTTTACAGTATTTGACATTATCAAAACTAGCGAGTGCAACTTTGTCGAGTCCGAGTTTTTCAAAATGTTAAATCTGCCGAAATTTTACGGCAATGTATTCACAGCATTTAACAAATGTAAAATGCAAAGAAATGTTAATAATTTGAATAGACGCGTTCTTAAGTGAATTTTTATGGAACACTACTTGTTTTCAATATAATTCAAAACCCCTGTGTTTTAAAGAGTGGATACAAAGCAAAATTTTGTACATTAAAGATATATTTGATGAATCAGGTGAAATATATGATATTAGATATTCTTATAACAAATTGAATAGAAAGAATAATATATTATGTGAATATTATATGCTTAAAAAAGCTGTTAGAGAGTATAAACAAAAGTTTGACTGTTCTTATGCGAAATATGTGAATGTGAAACCAAATGTACATTTTTTATTTTAAAATAATGTTGTAAAATCAGTACAAGAGATAAGAAGCAATTTTTACTACTCAATTTTTATTGATATGAAATTTCAAAAACCTTTGTTGGAAAAGAAATGGACAAACGGCCTAATATTCAGGGTGTTTGTATATGGAAATATATTTATAGAAACAAGATCTTAAATGTATACGAGAAGAGAATATCAGAATTTAATTATAAATTTTTACATGGTATTTTGAATAACAATGTCTCTGTAAGTAAATGGAACAAAGATATTCCTCCTTTATGTGAAAATTGTGAAACTTAAGATGATATGAAACATTTACTGTTTGATTGTAAAATTGTTAAACCTATATGGTGAAAAGTAGGTATTTTTCTAAAATATGATATTACTTGGAAATTAATTGTACTTGGATTCTATAGTGAAACTAGTGGAAATACTTTGCTTTTTAATAATTTGATAGCATTTATTAGCTTTACTATGTATAAATATAAAATGAAATGTAGACTACAAAATGAAAAATTCTCAGAGAAAAATCTCCTATATAGACTGAAATCTATGCTTCATATTCAAAATGATGTCCTTAGAAAAACTGGTCAGATTAGAAGTAATATTTATCATGATTTAGCTGATTTTTTGTGTTAATATTGATATTGTGATATGTTTGTGACCTGTTATGATTTTAATAAAAGATATAAAAAAAAAAGCCTCGGCAAAGGCCTCTGCTTTTATCTTTCAAACAACATTTCGAGACAGAGGAGGTTATCCTGCAACATTCACGAAAACACTGACTTCAGTTCTTAAACAACGAACGCGATGGTTCAATCGCTTTGTCAATGATCCATACATGTCACGAAAACCAAACATCTATCTTCTTCAACATTTTAGGCATTAAATACTTACTCACGAAATCATCACTGTGTATATTATGTAAACGTGTATGCAAATGTTTTAGCGTTATTTTCCCTCTCTGTTTTGATTCCTAGTTTTCTAGCTGACCATTCATTGATTGGAGAAGAGTGTTTTTCTCCAATATACTGACCACTGTTATGTATAACAGAATATTTTGAAGTTATATCAAGAGTTTAATTTTGTAACTCAGTTTTTGTTTAGATGCGTCGTAAAAAACAATGTTCAACAAGGTAACTTTGATTTCAGAGTAAAAAAAAAATATCGATACCATTGTAAAGCGATTGATAAACGAAATCTAAAATTAAATGCTAATCCTTATTTTATAAAACTTTTAAAACTTAAATTAGTTATTTATTCTAATGTAAATTTAATATCATTACAAACCTCTTTACGATCAGCTTTCCATCTTGTACAGGTAATACACAGCTTAACCGGCCAACAAGTGAAGCTGATCATATATCACCTCAACTTTTGCTCAAAGAAAAGGGTGCGTGCAAATATTTGTAGTTTTGCATGTAAGTTTCCACAACTGCACACATAATTCAAAAGATGCATTATCTCAACATTAATAAATTAAAAAATATAATTTTGCAGAAAAAATTCTTTCAACATTGATTAAGTCATAAATTTTATATTATATCTACCCTTTTGTGGCCCTCAGTACACTTATTGTGCAATATATTGTCATGGGATATGGCACAAAAGACACAAAATGAATTCTAAGTATTTTATTTCGTAAGCAATATCCGTATCATGACGACTTTTTTAATAAAAAACACTCAAGCGTGCACAACATGCATAAGATTTGAATATTTCTTTAAGAAAGTGGGGAAAGGAAAATACTAGAAAAGTAAAGAAATGAAACTATAGAATAAATTTTTTAAATTCTTTCATTTTTAAATCTTCATCTAAAAATCATGATAATCTCCCTTTGACTGCAGTGCTTCATAATTGATTTCAGTATTCCTCTACAAGAATTGAATTGATTTCAACTTTTGCTGTTTCGAATAAACTACTATTTTACGATTACTCAACATTAGGCTAAAATAAAAAATACCTTTGTTTCCCCTAACGCGACCGACCCAATTAAATCGCGCCGACTGAAAAGATTTTTTAAATAAGATGATTCAAATATTTTTTTTATTGTTAACCAAGTTTTATAAAATACAATTTCATCAAAATCAGTTTTTATCAGAATGGCCGACATTGTTCTACTGTGATTTTCAAGCATTAATTTTTTGGAAACAAAATGACCTCCAGAATTGATTACAGGGCATTAGCTCTTCATAAAACAATGGCGACGTCTCAATCTTATGCTTTTAGCTCATTGGAATTCTTCACTGTTGAAACAATTCAATGGTAAAATTTACCATGACTAATTAGATTGTTTCGGAGGTGTCTTGGCGTCTCCATGTGATTGAATAAATTTTCGAAAGGAACGTTAAACAAAAACAAACAAACGTGTCTTTCAATTTAAGGTACGTAATACATGGTAAGGATCGCGTTATGAGTAGATGAGGGGTCCACCAAGTGGACACATCATTCAATTTCACTGCATTTTATTTAATTTGAGTTTTGATCTAATAACCAGTTCATCTATGTTCCTACATGTATGTTTTCTATGTGCCATTATGGAATCAAAGGAGTTGTTGTAAATATGTCTGCATATTCATCCTGATAAATATAATTCAGATGCCTATCTTCATACATTTATTTGGTGGTTAAACTTCGTGACTATGACATTGTATATAGCATTTTTATCATTTGTAGATTCGGTTTGGTTCAATTAAATATTGTTAACATACTCTTTCCAAATAGTTCTGAAATCATGATTCAGCTTCCTGAGACGTCCAGTGTATTTTTCTTTAATTAGGCCCTTGAAGATTGGTTGTTTCTTTGCTTTTAATCCCTTCGAGATTTGTTAGGACGACATTTAAACATTTACCCATTGCTCCAAATTTAGACGTACTCGGCACTTTTTTGCCATTAAGCAGTGGAGGATCTTTTTTGAGCCAGCATCTTCTGCGACACTGGACATAAGTTTTCATGGTCCCCTTTGAAGGACCGTTTTCAACGTTACTCATTTGGATTTCAACATGCGATTTAAAATCAGCCACTTATTCTTAACTCAAAAGCAAAATGCTCCAGAACCACTGCAATTCTCATGGTCCTCAAAAAAGTACATTGATCGTCTATAAGCTCTGAAGGCTGGTGGAAGGTTTGAAAAAATATACTCGTATGTCTAGTCTTTGCTTATTTGAGAATCTTGTCTATATTTTATTCAATTTATATAAATGTAATGGCGTGAAATATTTCACAGGTTCAACTAAATAACAGTTGTGAATTAATTAATCATGAATTTTGCTTTTAAACGGCATATGTACGATACTTAAAGCATTTTGTTCACAAATCGCTTTCTTTTGTACTTTTCTTATTTATAAAGTTAATTTTCCATTAAATTTTATAATGTATTTTCAAAGCTGCTGTCAGAAAACTTGAGAATTTAGGGCCGGGTTAGGGGAAACAAAGATATTTTTAATTCCGGCCTTACTCAACATTTTATTTATATGCCTGTATTGTATTTTCAATAACTTTACGACATTGTATGTTTCATTGATGGAAAAGTAGCTGAATCATATGATATTCTTACAGTGACTTGAAAGCGGCGTTTACTGATTGATAATATGACCTTGTTTTTTTTTTATGAGAAACAAGCAAATTCAAAGAATTGTGGTCCCCTGTGTTCGATGTCTGAGTGGATGGGTTGCCATTATTTATGGCATTTTGTGTCAAATATGTACTTTCTATCATATGTTATTTAGGGTAAATCACTCCTGAAATTTGTTAAATCAAGGATTTTTTCAGAAGTATTTTTTGGATAAGTACTCATAAAGTGTAACTCAAAATCGCAAAGAAAATAGGGGGTCAGTGTGCATCCTACTGATCTACGGTACATTTAAGTTGACCTTTTTGCATTTAAATTTCATCTCTTTGGTTAACTACTTTAACCCTTATTATATTTGATCAGATGTAAGCATGGCAATAAATATAATCTTATTTTACGTAAAATAGTTTGAATAATATTTATCATTAAACAAATGTTGTAAATTTTAAATGCGCGTTAATTATTGTGTGACCTTTTTGCACTAAAAAATAACATATTTGGGGTAATAAAAAACTTAAAATGCAATACAAAATTTTCTTATATCAAACTTTTTACGACTTAAGTGCTGATCAGTCACAAGTATCAAGTAGTTTAAAATAATGAAAGAAAACGGTGGGGTCAGTGGTGTTAATTTTGAAATATTTGTCAAAATATGTGATTTTCAGGTAAAAAAAAAATGGTGTAAATTTGATCTTGATTTCTTAAAAATATTTTCATTTTTTGGAAAAGTTTGTTGAGGGAAGGTGTAAAACTTAGTCTAAAAATATAAATTAAGACCTATATTACATTGGCGTCGGAAGCAAATTGAAAGTGGGGACTAGGTGTAATTTTTTTTATACTTTCAAAACAACCTGACAAGCAAAAAAAAGAAAATAAATAAATAAATAAATATAAAAAAAATAAATAAATAAATAAAATGTAAATGTCCATTTCCCAAACATGAAAATCCTATTTCGTGTGTGTGGGGGTGTGTGTGAGTGTGTGTGTGTGGGGGTGGGTGGGTTTACGTTCCAACTCCAATACAAAAAAATTTCTTCCAAACACCACCACTTTCCCCATTTTTAACCTATACTAAAACATATCTATGGAAAATGGGGGGGGGGGGGTAAACCTCCGAAGATAGAATAGAATAGAATAGAATATCATTTATTTCCAATTTTGGGCCCATGAAGGGCATTCAAGAAAAATACAACATAAATAAAATATAAAGTTAAAGAGAGGAAGAGATCCAAATGATAGTTGAATTCATATGCAACAATGAATATGTATAATATATGAAAAAAGTACACAAACGCAAACATTATGCCACATCATGCATAAATTTTAGTGGATATCTACCTTGTCTGCATATAATATCATTATCGACTTTCAGGAACATCCTGAGACAACATTGGATCTTTTATTGTAACATTTAAATATATATTCTGCAAAACTATTTATTATATCACTACTTTCATTTGACATTAGCCATATAAATTTATTTCTATTTGAAAGTGAGGAGAAATTTTTATTTTCTTCACTTATATGATTAATGAATACTTGCCTATATAGTTTATAAGTTGAACATTCAAATATAAAATGGATTTCATCTTCTACAGAGTCTGAAGCACAAAGTTTACACTTTCGATCCGTGGCAGGCACATTTCTGTATCTGCCAGTTTCAATTTCAAGCTTATGTGAACTAATGCGGAAGTATGTCCAATCTCTACATTATGTATATATTTGGAAAAAAGTGGGGGGGGCTAAGCCCACCCCCCTAGCCCCCCCCCCTTTCCGACGCCTATAGTGCTCTTCTGAGGTCCTGGAAAGCTGTTTCACACTCAGTCTACTGAAATTTCTTGTCTTTATAAGTAAGGTTTTTAATGGACTAGCAAAAGTGGCAAATCCCTTCACAAACCTCCTGTAGTAAGAGCATAAGCCGAGGAAACTGCATACATTCCCCATGTTGGTTAGTGTTGGCCAGGTTTTTATTCTCTTTAACTTCCCTGGGCCAGTTTCAACATACTAGTATTATTTTGTTATGATTCTCTGTGTACAAAACTGAACATAATCACTTAAGGGTACTTGACACAAACAAAAAATATATAGATGAATGGATTGGTATATATTTTTTGCCTGATTTTGATTTGAAATGACATAAATAAAAATCCCTGAAATATAAAGAAATCGTAGGTTTTACTTGGTGCTTAGATATGAGACTTTTTTTGCTTTCTGTATAATTTCATACAAAATTTTGCACAAAATTTTAACCTTGTGACAAAATCTTATACAACTCTCCAACTATACTCGGTAAACATGATTTAGGTTACCAATCTGAATGTATATCTATGGGAAATATTGCTGATTTCTGAAAAAAGTTTGTGTTATTTACTTATTTATCCTTAACAAGAAGTATGAAAAACATTAGTCGGCATTTGCCTTAATTATACCGGTATATTCTACACAGTAGTATTTGCTGATAAGGCCAATGTATCGACCGTACAACTTACAGAATAATGACTTTGAAAGAGACTTTATATATTCTTTTTCATCAACTTGTTTGTCAATAACATCTCTCGTTTTACAAACGGTTCATACGTAGAGCATGCTCTTGCGTATCGACTCAAATAAAATATAGACCTCTACTGCAGGTATGAATGATTCATGTTTTTAAATACTACAACATGAATCCTCATCGCCCTTTTATTCTTACATATATACTTATGATAAACAACTGTTTTTCAAAAAATAATAGAATGTAAAATGTAGATGTCCATCCATAATTATTAAACATCGGTTTCCTCTGAAAAATCTAACAATCCGTCAATGGGATTGACATTCTTAAGTTCAAGCATATTAACGAATGAAATGTACAGTAGTAATGATCGGAATATTACATGTAAAGCTGTTTCCGTGTTTTGATTGAACGATGTTATGATGTTCTACCCGACAAGTTTGTGTACTAGACCATTGTAGGAACACAGAAAAGAAAATAAACTGAGTACTAGTATGTTCAGATTGACTGGAATTCAAAGAAAATAGCGTAAGTATAATAATTCATAATGTACACTATTTTGTATATATGCATTGCAACTGTTTTTCTTTATTTTAAATAATAAAAAAAAAAGTTAAGGTTTGATCATAGTCGTGTATGTAATGTTTTAACTACATGTATTCTAGCTCTGTATATGCGCCATAACTGTTTTTGTTTTATTTTAGATAACGTGTACGTGTACTTAGAATAGAAATATTCTAGAGTATGCTTGGGAAAATGTCAAAAAATTAAAATAAAATAACCAGCAGCTAAATAAAAGTTTGAGATAAAATTGATGACATTTCAGATATAGTTATTATAATGCCCCTCATTGGTCGATACAAATACCTTGTCAGCCAATACAATTTATCATTGAGTCAAATGCTGACTGACGTTTTTCACACTAATTGTTAGTGCATTATTTATACACTGAATTGACGACGGATTTTCCATTATTTCCCGATCATGACAGGGGGCACACAGCGGGTGTGACAGGTCGGCAGGGGATGCTTACTCCTCCATGGCACCTAATCCAACCTCTGATGTTTCGGAGGTCCGTGTTTGCTCCGCTCCTATTTTGTATAGTTTTATGAACGTTTGATCTTGAATACTGTCCGTGTTCTCCGTATGTTTCATTCCAATAGACAAGGAATTGTTTATATCCAAAATTACTTTCTACAAAACTTTTTTAAATCAATGAAATTGAATCTCCAAAGTATCTTCTTCATTTATTTAAGCCTTTATTATTTAAATCATAATATACAGTTATTGACTGGGTATGAGGGCAACATATGATTTGTTTGACCGAAAGGTGAAAATGTTGCCCGAGGCCGCAGGCCAAGGGCAACATTTTCACCCTCAGGTCCAACAAATCATATGTTGCCTGAATCCCAGTCGGTAACTGTTTTGTTATACCCTTCAGTGCCACTTAAGATTTAATCAATACATGCTATATTAACAATTACTTTATATGGAAAATTATGGAATATTCACTAAATGTAAAGCAATAGCTAAGAAAGAACAAAATTAATTATTCCTTTATTATATCACAAAAATAATTTATCACAAAACATACCACTCTTCCCTTCTTCCCTGCTAGTAGCAACAACTCTTGCAGCTCTTAACATGCTTAACTTCGACTATTTCCGTGTCGCCGATATTGAACGATGATTTATTACTATTGTGACGTAGCAGTGACGTTGCGGTCTAACAATTCTTTATATTAGGCCGGTCAATAGTGAAACTGTTAGACTGATGTAATAAACATTTCTTTTGTAGGACTTTTTATTAGTAATAGATATATAGAAAGCTATTTATAAGGGTATAACAAGTAAATATAAAAATCATTTATGATCAAATAAAATATCAAAACTTTGACATGCAGGTATAAAAAAAAAATGGAACGTGGGTTGCAATTTGAGAATCTGATAAACATTGTTTTAAGCATTTAAATCTTTTTTTATTTAATTATTTGGTTCCTTTTTGTCAGTCTCCATTAAACTCTCTTTTTCATTCGATATTCAGTAATCTGTATATCATGCCACATTAGCGGCGTTCGGTTAATATTTTGCACAATAATTAATACAGAAACCATACTGTAAACACCTGAACACTCATTATATAAACATTACCTTGAGTCAAAGTCCCGAGGCAGCATGATCTCACACAAGGTTTGGTATTAAGATATTAACATGGAGTTGTAGATTTTTACACAGTGGACGTGTTTGTTAATTTGTTTACTTTCACTGTAATTTGTAATTCTAACAGTATAATTTTCGATTTGAAATTTATGCATTCATTATAGCTTGACATTTTTTTTTTAAATTGCAACACCATGAAAAACTGCTACATTATGTACAGTGGACCCTCAGATATCCGGACGCCAGATATCCGGATGCTTCAGTATCCGGACGATCTTTCAAGGGAACGAAATTTTTAAATGTTATTTTGTCTTATTTAAGTGGTGATTCAGATATCCGGATGCTTCACATATCCGGACATATTGACTGGGAACCAAAGCGTCCGGATAAATGAGGGTCCACTGTATATTGTTCTAATTATTCATTCATAAGCATAGGACCCGGGGGGGGGGGGTAGCCCCCCTTTTTGCAAAGATAGAAATAATATAGGCATTGAAAATTGAAACGTTTTGTTGGTGTAGCTTCCCCCCCCCCCCAAAAAAAAAAAAAAAATCAGTAAGCCCCTCCCCGACATGCTTTCAGTTTGCTTATGACAACTATTTCATTTGTTAATTGTTAACATGTTTTTCACGAAAACAGAAGAAGAACTCATTCACCTTCAACAAGTGGCATGTGGACCTCCTCCCATTTTAAAAGACTTGGCTTGGAGAGAACTTTACTTGCCATTGGCTGCTTCCTTCTCATTTTGACCACTGCTCATGCGCAAACTGGATCCGAATTGCCAGGGATAGGAGCTCTGGGAGTCGTGGGAATTTCCAGTAAATATCCTAAATACAATTGAACTTCGGTATCTCGAACTCTGATTTGTTGAATACCATGGATATGTCGGAATGATCTGGAGGTCCCAATCCCTTTTTCTCTTTAAGTATTTTACCTTGAATATTTCGAATCATACGTTTTAATACGCATACTTCTTAAAGGGGCATGGACGCAGTTTCCTCTTAATTTTTCAAACCAATTTTATTGTTTACAATTCCTACCTAAGGCATCATCTAATGATTTACAAAAATTTGAACATCATTTGTTGATTAACAAACAAGATACAGAACTTAAAGTTCTTCATAATGTAAACAAGGCTCGTGCTTTGTTTTTGTTTACATATAGAAAATATATTTAAAACAAAATGAAATTCGGCAAATCTATAAAAACTGTCAAATTGTACAGTCGTTTGGCCAGTTCCAAATTTTGACCATTTCCGAATAATTATTAATTTAAGAGCTAATAATTAAAACATTCAAAGGTGTAAAAATAAATTGATACTATGGTAAGAAGGCTTATCTATGAGTGTTTAAATTATGCAAAGTTTTGATTTTTTTGCCTTCAGTTCAGTTTCGTTATCGTAACTGAAAGAGTCGACATACTTTCACAATGCAACAAATCTGAATCATCGCGACGCGTAAGTCTGCAGAAAAACCTCTGTGGTGACATAAATTTTTCACATAAAACAACACTCCAGGTATCAAAAGTAATAAGTACTCTAACAAATACTAAAAACTTGTCTAAAATAAATATTTAGAACACTGGAAGATATCGGAATATTTTCGAGTTATCATTTTACTAGTACCGAATACCTATTTCAAAAACTACATGTATCATAAAATAAATTCATTCTTCGTAGTTTTCTTCATTGTAAACATAATTTAATATACCCCCGCTTGAAAAACAGGGGGAAGGGGTATATAGTGATGGGATGTTTGTCCATCCATCCGTCTGTATGTCCGCCCGTCTGTCTGTACGTCCGTCCTTCTGATACGCCTTGGGGTACCAGTCCATTTCTTATCCACAGCTCTTCTTCTACCACTGAATGAAATTTAATGGGGTTTCACAGAATTTAATGAAGTTTTCACAGAATCTTCGTTAAATAGTGCCAAAGAACACCTTCTATTTTATTTTTAGATCTGGCACTTAATTTGGACTCCCTTAGCATTACATGGATAGTGCCATTCTTTCTAATATTGAAAGGTATATCCATCTTTTATAAATTCGCAATTCCTCCATTCCAGTGAATAGGATTTAATGATCTTTTCAGAGATTTTTGATTATACTTTGCCATTGTACATGTGACCTCTTACTTTACTTTTTGATCTGACACTTATTTCGGGTCTCCCAGAGCAAAACATGTACTTTGTCATAGAAGGCCTGGGATATCATTAAAGTGAGCTCAGTGCTCATATTACCTCTAGTTTCTCTTTATCTTTTGAAAATACAAATAACTTATTGGTAAGCAGTTTAGTTCACTTTTCTTAGGCTGCCCAATGGATAATGTGTGTGACGTATAATTTTTGATTTAGGGTTCAATTGAATGGGTACCGCTTGGGTATTCGGAACTCGTCGACTTATTCGTAAATGGTAAAATGGACACCTATGTTAACTTTCGAAATATTTTTTTTTTTTGGGGGGGGGGGGGAGGGGGAAGGCTGAACTTTTATGAAACAATATTTTCACAAGTCACTGAACTACCTTGACAAAAATCTTAGATTTTGAAAGAATGCCTCGTATATTTATAGCACCGAAGAATCCGTTTCTTATTCGGAACTGATCAAATAAATGTATATTTAAAGTTAACTTTTTATTGAAATTATCTACTTTGAACAAACATATATTAGTAAATTAACCTATGTAAAACAAAAAAATGACACGGACCTTGTTTACATAACAAAGTTTGGAGCTCTAAATCTGTCTTGTACCTCGACAACTGACGTTCAAATTTCTAGTTAAATATTTATAAAAATGGAAAAATAAATTTTGAAATTTTAGCAACTGTGTCCATGCCCCTTTAAAAATTGACTTAACGGCCAGGGCTTTCTTTATTCTGGATGATACCATATATATTTCATTTAAAATAAAGTTTATGTAACATGATTGTATTTCAAATATCTATTTATATCTTTAATATATTGTAAGGCTGACGATGAGCTTACCATTTACGTTTTGAATCACGTTCTAATGTGTATCTACTTCTTATTAAATCCTAATTGAACGAAAATGAAATTCGACTTTTTAGTTAAAGACCTATAACTCTTACTATATTTACCCTTTATGTATGCATAAAATATGTTTGCATATAATACATTTTAGTTGCATAAAAAAGATGAAATATCAACACGCAGTCCAAAATGCATGCATTTTCAAAATTCCAAATCAGTTAGTCATTTTTTAAAAAAAAATAGAAAATAGAAAAGAAAGAACAACGAAAGAAACAAACAACAACAACAACGACCAAAAAACCACTTTGTATCATCTAGGTCTATTTTTCTTAGCCAAAAAAAGGCGTAAATTCCTGGAACTATAGAAACCCTACAGTGACACTTAGTTTTACGATTTTTTGTCGTGAATAGTTTGCCCCTTCGGGACTTCCATGCTCTTAAGTTTTGAAATGTTTACATGTAAATTTTTCACGTTTATATAACTAGTAGTTTACATCCATTTTGAAAACAATTGCTTTACCGTGCTTTAAAACATTTAAAAAAACAATAACGTTGCGTTTTAAATGTTAATTTTAGCATTTTTATGGGATGGTACGAGATTTTAATGATCTTGAATAAATGTATCTATCTTTTCAAAACAATCTATAAACTTGTTTGTGAACAGATCATAATTAGAGTTTTTTTTAAATTTCTTTCCTCAGTGACTGCGTCGACTTCAATATTGTCTTCAGCAATTCGAGATCTGAGGGCGGATCTAGAGGCGTGTGAAGACAAACTTCAAGACTTAGAAGATTGCGAAACCAAGCTGCGAAAGGCAAGGGAAGAAGAGGAGGAATGTAGAAAGGGACAAAGTGAATGTGAAGAGGCGTATTCTAAGGCAAAGGACGATCTAAGTAAAGCAAAGGACGACCGCGCGGCTTGTGATACTGAGTTTGGTGGAAATTTTAAGGGTGAGATTCATATACATGTTAGGTTGAGATACATACATTTAATGTGAGATACATACATTTAAGGGTGAGCTATATACATTATAAGTTAAGATACATACATTTTTAGGGTGAGATACATACATTTAAGGGTGAGATACATACTTTTTAGGGTGAGATATATATAAATTTTTAGGGTGAGAAACATACATTTTAAGGGTGGGATACATATATTTTAAGTTGAGACATATTTTAGGGTAAGATATATACATTTACAATTTTAGGTGGACATAATTTTAGGGGTAAAATATATAAATTTTAAGGGTGAGACATATACATTTCCAATTAATTTTTAGGGTGATATATACATTTTAAGGATCTGAGATACATACATTTTAGGGTGAGATACATACATTTTTGGGGTGAGATAAATGCGTTTTATGGGTGATCTACATGAAACTTAGGGGTGAGATACATACTGTGTGATATTTTAAAGAATTTTAAAAAATCTTAAGGAAAAATATTTTGGAAATGTAAATAAATACGTATAAACTCGTGCCAAAAAAATAGTTGACAGCTTAAGATATGTCCAAAAAATTAAGTTAAATCTGGTGGTCAATTTTGTTGACCCCCTTGCCTCCTTAAGGAGATTCGATCCTGAGCTTTTAAGCAGATTTTGACTAAGTTCTGCATCATATTTAAGTTCTTTTATTGAATTTTGATCTACAATGCATAATAAACTATATTCAATTAAAACCCTACGATAATTTCCATACCAAAAAAAAAAAAAAAATGAGAAACTATTTTTTTTTTTTCGAAGTATTAACAGTTCTGTTAAGTTTGGATACCTATTCATCCGTGCAGGCTACACAGAGATCTAAATTGTTTTATTTAATAGCCATTCTCTGTAACCACTTAAACTTCGTTGCCACGCATGGTCACTGATATTGATGAAACTTCACCCATGCTTAGTACTTGACACCAGAAACAAATATCAAACAAAATTTCGTTGCTAGGTGTCTCGGTTGCTATGGCAACAGCCAGAAAAGTTTGAAAAATTGAGATTTTCAGCCACATTAAATTTTGACTGTCGCCTAATAAAAACTTGAAAAAGCAAACAAACCTTTCTCACAAAAACATGACACCTTGATGTCACTTATACTGTAAAGAAACAGTTTATAATATATCTCTAAGTAAGTGGTAACCAAGGGTACATTTGGAATACATTTAAAATGCTGAAAAATACTGAAAAACACTCCGTATTCACTAATGGTAGGAATTACATGCTCAAACTCAATCACCGACTTAAGAAAAACAATGAAAATGTTTGACCTTAAGTTTATAAGTATACGCAATATTATTCTATAAATAACTTTTATGGTTGCCATGGTAACACAGTGTAACCATGCAAAAACAGTAACTATGATTGAGTTTATGCTACTGTCTTGGGGGAAAACATAAAAATTCAAGACTAGCAAATATGCATCCTTAGGACCTTGCAACACCAAAACCATAAGAAAAATTGGGTATAATTGCTACTTTGCAGTGTTACCATGGAAACAACGAACCAGTGCTTAAAAGAGAATTATTTTTCGCTGCATGAAGAATTAAATTGCCATTTAATCAAGAAACAAATTAAACGATTCAGCTTGAATAGTACTTATCTGTTAGAACTGTAGTTGAATATCATACATTGATAAAATTTGATGAAGAAAACAACACTGTTGCTATGGTTACCAAAAAGGGAAAATGTTCGATTTTGTGAACTTTGTATCAATATTAAACTCTGTGTGCTAACTTCTTGCATCCACTTAGAGATTGGATGATAGTCAAAATTAAAAGTCATGTTAGCTGTTAATAAGTATCAATCATAAAAGTCTTGGGAATCTACATTTAGGGGTACGTATCCAAGGAAAGAAAATATTTTTCAGGGTTTTAAGCATATATTTTCTGTTTATTTCCATAGCAACGCTCTTTTTAAAGAATCTTATCTGAATTTTTTCAAATGGGAAAACTTGGAGCACACCAACATCTTTAAAAATTAATCATTAGCTATGAGAAAATGTGGTTTTTAAAAAAGATAGGATCAGATTTAAACATACAGAGTGTTGCTTTAAAGGCTCTCTGTGGTATAAAAACCTTGGCAACCATTGCCAACCAGAATGAAATATCATATTATGTTCATGGTATATGTTTCAAGGCTCTTTTTTCTATTATTTGGTCACATTTTATCCTATAATTGCTTTTTATTTTTACGTATATGACTTTATAAAATTCAATGAATAATCTTTTTACTTTTGAATACTTTGTTACCATAGTAACGTATGTAATAGTTGATTTACCAAACAAGTTTATCATGCAATTGACACATCTGACCTTCAACTTTTTGAAACAGTCATTGCCAATTGTTTGATTTGCCGCAAATGTTAACTATGGGGCTCTAAACATGTTAAAAACTGCCATTTTTCGAACTTTAAGACTTGTTGCCATGGTTACTATAACACATAGCAACCAATTTTTGCCTGATTTCAGTTAAGGGTATCAAAGACTTTTATCATAGAGAGTTTGGAGAAATTCTGAGACTATGCGTGCCACAGCTCCTATATAAAAGTTCAAGTCATTACAGAGAATGGCTCTTAACTTTTATAAATTCTGTCACCATATTTTGTAACAAATATATCAAACATAAATAAAGTCCTTTTAAATATTTTGAGTTACCTCGTAAGTTCCCACTTTTAATTTTCTTTTCTGAATATATGATAACTTTGATCATTTTGCTAAAAGTCAGCAATAATGTAAGATTTTAAAATATATTTTTCTTCTTAAATTTTCAATGTCATAAAATATTTTAAAGTGCATAATGGTTAAATAATTGATATTTTGAAGTTATTTGAAACCTTTTTATTTATCCCGATTTTAAAGATTAAAAGTATATTTGATCCCATATTTTTTTGGATAAAAAAAAATATTTGAAGGAAAAACTTCGAGAAATCGATGTATGTTTTAGACACTAGTTCACTGCAAAAAAAGGTCATATATAATCAAGCATGGCGCCAGATCCATATGGAAACCAGTGCGCCCCATTATTAGCAGACCTTTTTGTATTCATATGAGGAAGAATTTGTCCAAAATCTTATACATGAAAAGAAGATAACATTTGCTGTGGCCTTCAACTCGACATTAAGATAATTATATCGAAGACGTATTGTCAATTAACAATGGTTATTTCTGTTCTTATGTCAATATGATATATCCCGATGAGATGAAGGATATTCCACAGAGTCTGAGACATCTGTTTCATATTTGGATATTTTACTTGAAGAAGACGTTAATGGTAATCTAACAACCAACCTCTATGTTAAACGTGATGACTTTTACTTTACAATCGTCAGCTTCCCTTACTTATGCAGCAAGATGCCTTCATCACCTTCAATACGAGTCTATATACCCAGTATCTCAGTTCATTCGATACGCATGAGCATGCTCTACGTATGAACAATTTCTAAAACGAGGTGAATTATTGAAAAACAAGTGGTCTCGTTTAAAGTCATCATTTTGTAAGTTCTATGATCGATACTATGACCTTGTAAGCAAATACAAATTATCATTCACTCAAATGCTTACTGTCGTTTTTCATACTAATTGTTAGTCCATTATTTATGTACACTGAATTGACGACAGATTTTTCCGTTATTTCCTGATCATGACAAGGAGCACACGGCGGATGTGACCGGTCGGCAGGGGATGGTCACTCCTCCATGGCACATGATACAACCTCCGATGTTTTGGAGGTCCATGTTTGCTCTGCTCCTATTTTGTATCGTTTTATGGACTTCCGATCTTGAATACTGTTCGTTATCCCCATATGTTTCATAGAACTCAAGATTTGTTTGATGTACGAAGATACCAAAATAAACTTTAAATAATGGAAAAAAAATTATATCAGGATCCAATCTCTTTTGGGAGTCTTTTCGGTTGAAACGAAAATACTTAAATCGTTATTATTATTTTTTTTTTTTTTTTGATTTTGTAATTTCGATTTCAATGTTTCATAGTGTCAATAAGCAACAGTAGCCTGCAGTTTCTTTGAACAAAATCATTTTATTCTATTTCATATGTAAAATTTCTATTTTTTCTCCTTTTAGAGTTTCTAAGCAAGTTTTGTAGTGCGTATGGGAGAGAGTGTGTCTGTGCTGTAAATACTACGCCAGAGGAATGTGCTGCGGAAACCGAAACTACCTGTGTGTATGATGCTGGTCAAGGATTTTGTAGATATAATCCCTAGAAGCCACTGGACAGTAAATCTTGCAGCAAGCTACACTCTTTTGATGCTAATGAACTCATTGCTGCTACCGGTTATCTAGATGCATTAGAAAGCAAATTTTGTTGCAACAAGTTACACCTTTTTAATGCTAATAATTTCATAGATACATTGGAAAGGAAATCTTGTTGCAACAAGCTACACCCTTTTAAACTATAAAAATGAACACATTATTGATACCGGTCTTGTAGAGTAGCCCCCCCCCCGGAAAACTGGTTTTGAAGTAGAATCCCCCCCCCCCCCCTGGAAAACTTACTCTAGAGTAGGATTTCTCCAGAGTCAATTTTCTGGGTGGGGGGATCCTACTCTGTGTAGTAGTACGATTTACCCCAGTGAATTATAATTGCTCTACTTATGTTTTGAGGGGGAATCGGTGGGACCTTGCTACAAAACTCCCTTTTTCAAAATGGTGAGCAGATGTATTGAACATACGTATACGAAATATGACATAAAATTAAAAAAAAAATTAAATCAAATAAATGCTCAACCTAAGTGCAAAATAAAATTTTAGCCATTTATCAAATGTTAGAATTTATTAATTCAATATCGATTTAAAACTTTTGTAATTTTCTTTCCATACTATACCTTTTCGTTCAAACTCTGCTGAAAAAAGAATATTGTTTAATTGTTTTAAGGACAGATGATACAAACTTTTGGCAAATATTTGAATATTACTACTGACTTTTAATTTTTCATTAAAAGTTTCACAATAATGGGATCTAAGGAGATTTAATTTTATAAAACATGTATAGATTTATAAGGATGGTTACAGGAAGGTGAAAATTTGAACATCATAGTAAGTTTACAATTTCTTAATGTTTTAGAAAGTTTATCATTTACAACCAAAATAGGTTCAAAAATATATAGCAAACAATGCAGACATATATTTTTTGGTTGTTTCATCATATTTTGAGAATATTTACCTTTCTTTTGAATGCCACCAGGTTTATTTTGGCTAAGATTCCATGATTTGAAATATATGTTTAGAAGATTCTTACAACATTCAGGTCAGATGACACATTCCTCAAAAATATATATTAATTTTTCCTAAGAATTTGTCATTGGAGTAAAGGTACTTAAACAAGTTTCCTCACAAAAAATTAGGGTACCTTACCAAACATTTGGACAAGATACCACATGGTCATATTCCTTATATAACTCTTATGGGTAATCTCTTGAATGGCATATATCACAATTTTGGGTGTACTTATATCTAAAAACATTTTGAAAACAATGTAGAAATCAGAAGTGAATGACAAACATAAATAATTTTTTATATTAGACTAAGAGAAACAGGATATATATTTGAGGAACTTGTCGTCTGACCATTAACGAAAAAAAAAAAAGAACATTCATTCACCTTTTAAAAATCACGTTTGTCGTTTATTTTTTTTCCATAAAAATATTGCGTCTGTGGTTTATATTGCCTTTATATCAAGGGGAAAATTCTACTCTGAGAAAGAAATAAGGGGAAAATTGGCTCTCGTGTGAGATTTCTATTCGGAGGAAAATCCTACTCTAGAGTACGACTTCCGGGGGTAAAGCTGGCTATGGGGGAAATCCTACTCTACAAAACCGGTTATCTAGAAGCATCGGAAAGCAAATCTTATTGCAATTTATAAAAAAAAAATTCAAATTGTCCCAAGAACAACTGAATAGAATAAACCTAAAAGATTGATTTTCTTTCTGTTCTTCCTTTTTTCAGTATCCTTTACTTTTAGGAAGAAGTGATATTTTGAAAATATTAAGCTGGAAAAATTATGTATCTGGGATGGATCCATTTTAGGTTGCACATAACTAAAAAAAAGTATACTACCACACAAGAAAATAGAGAGTTGTAAAAGGTGAAAGTAAGGGACAGCCGGTAAAAAAAAACCGGACCGTGAACAGAACAAACCAAGGATCCCGGAAACAGAAGAGGTGGGATCAGGTGCATTAGAGTAGTAACAAAACAAACCAAGGATCCCGGAAACAGAAGAGGTGAGACAAGGTGCATTAGAGTAGTAACAAAACAAACCAAGGATCCCGGAAACAGAAGAGGTGGGATCAGGTGCATTAGAATAGTAACAAAACAAACCAAGGATCCCGGAAACAGAAGAGGTGGGATCAGGTGCATTAGAGTAGTAACAAAACAAACCAAGGATCCCAGAAACAGAAGAGGTGGGATCAGGTGCATTAGAGTAGTAACAAAACAAACCACGGATCCCGGAAACAGAAGAGGTGGGGTCAGGTGCATTAGGGTAGTAACAAAACAAGGATCCTGGAAACAGAAGAGGTGGGATCAGGTGCATTAGAGTAGTAACAAAACAAACCAAGGATCCCGGAAACAGAAGAGGTGGGATCAGGTGCATTAGAGTAGTAACAAAACAAACCACGGATCCCGGAAACAGAAGAGGTGGGGTCAGGTGCATTAGGGTAGTAACAAACCAAGGATCCCGGAAACAGAAGAGGTGGGATCAGGTGCATTAGAGTAGTAACAAAACAAACCAAGGATCCCGGAAACAGAAGAGGTGGGATCAGGTGCATTAGAGTAGTAACAAAACAAACCAAGGATCCCGGAAACAGAAGAGGTGGGATCAGGTGCATTAGAGGAGTAAGTATCTCTGTTGACCGATCACACCAGCTCATAAACCATATTGATCAGTCAATTTTTGTAAAAACGATGACCGAACATAAGACATAAGAAAAGGTCCAACTTAAAAATTCGGTTGTATTTTCAAAGTATGTTTGATCTTTGAGTACTTCTCCATGTAACCTTTACTTTGTTACTATACATTAGGAATGAATACTTCCTATATAGTTATCCAAATATCGGATCCCTCCTAGGAGTGGATGAAAAACGCACCTGACAATGTAATAATAGTCTATCATTTTTCTTACAAATATCATTGGATATCGATATTTGAAAGACATGAGTTAAAACTAATTTCACGGGTGGTAAACATAACTTTTCACGAGGAGACATTTGCAGGTGATCGTGAAATATTACTGCATAGATAAAATAAATGCAGATCTCGTACTTTTGTCATCTCAAAAATTAGAATCTTCACTTAAAATTTGTTCTTTTTATTACATTTAAATTGAAAAATTCAATATTTTGTAGAGGATACTATTTGTCATTGTTTTCGATAAATTTCAATTTGGTAGCGGTACCTTATGTTTTGTTTAAAACTGCAAATATTTTGAATACATTGTATTAACAAAAATATAAGAAATATAGAAACGAAATGATATGTACTTATACAGTTTTCCGCCTTCATCACAGAAAAAGGTTTCATATCCAAAAATTCCTATGGTTGCTGAAGTATTTAGTTTAAATTTAACAAGCAAGGAGTATACAATAAGCATATTTTCGTATTTCAAGCAATCCATTTTATGGTTTTTTTTTTTTAAATTTTTATCGAAGAATAGACATAATTTCCTATGTAGAGATGTGTGCTAAAAGTGAAGATAATTTTATTTTTTCGCCATATATTTTACTGAAAATAATCTTTACTTTTGGCATACGTCAGTTTATACCCCCAAAAGGTATTTTCAAATTGTATAACTTGACAGGCACGTACATGTCCATACTTCTTTCTTTCCAAATGTTCTCGACAATGCAATATTCTCTCTCATCTGGAACAAATAGATTATCATTTAACATACGCCAAAACGAATGATTATTGCGTTTTGACACTTTTGATTTAAGATAAAGGGGATGCTCACTCCTTCAGGGCATTTGATTCCACCTAAGGTCCGTGTTCGCCCTGATGCCCATTTGTATTGATTTAATGGCCTTTTGAGATGGAGTACTGTTCGTTTTCTCCATAAATTTCATAAAGCCTTAAGTCCATATACATAATTATAAAACAATGAAAATTCTAAAAGTGCGTAGATTCAGACACTCAAGCTGTGCAGAGTTCACTAATTGTCATTTAATTATAAAAGATAATCAATTATGTATCATATCTGTTATGAAGGTGTATGATTTTGAAGACCTTATTTCGCTGCCTACGGGTGAAATAAAAAAAATACTATATCTCTGAAGATTAAAATTGTTTGCCATTTTATCCAAAATGTTTCAAATCAAACCTTAGTGTATTTCTCTTCCTTTATTTTCGAAAAAAAAAATGACTGTTTCCTTTACCCACAGATTTAAGTAATTTTCACCGATAAAAATACAACTGCTGCTTTGAATAAAATTTAAGGATTTCCATCCTAATGGGACCGAATTCCCTACCATTATGTGTCCGTCAAGTACATCATACTCTGATAAAATATTAAAGCAATTCATAGTGGAAAAGGATTGTCCGCGAGAAATTTTCAAACATTTCATTAATTAAGCAGTAGTTAATTAACAAAGATTGCATTGAAGTCTATGGGAAAAAGCGTTTTTTCAAAATAAAAATTCTAATAATTTGAATATCAATAAATCCTGCGGTGGAAAGGTGCATTGAAACATTAAAAATAGAATGACAATTGAAATCAATTTTTTTACCGTCTAAATTTTTTAAATTGATTTTTTTTTCATTAATTAAAAAAAGGGGAGATAACTCTTACCAAAATTCAAGGTAATGAATTAGGACACATCCCACCATACATACTAATAGTAATAAATGGGAATTATGTCTAAATAAACTGAGTATTAAATGCCTACATATCTCTTATGTTTTCAATTTAAATGAATTTGTTCTTATTACGGGTTGAATACCTTAAGACATTAAAATTTAAAACTATGATTAAAAATTTAGCTGATAAAATTCATTATAAAGAATGAGCTTTTCTAGAAATAAGCTGTTGCTAAAAATAGATCAACAGTTCGACAATGTTTGGCTGCTTTTGTGATTGATACTTTTATTAAGAAAATTTTAAGCCACAATAAAATCCTTAGTCGCAACCTTCTCTTTCAACGATTTTTGTTTGGTTGATTTTGCATTTTTTTTTTCGATTGAAGACTGGCTCTTAACCTTATACTGAAATGCCTTGATATGTAATTTTACCACGCACATGACGCAGTGCATTTAAATTTCATTTCGGAAGGGGAAAGGAAAGGTGGTCAAGGATGAGGATGGGGAGTAAACACCCCCTCATTTCCCATTAAAAGTAGTCTTTATAAATTATATCGATTTTCTACATCATTTTTAATAATAAAAAGTTATTCAAACATTTCAGCATTAAAATAAATAAATACAAAAAAAAGCAACATATGAAAAAGGAACGCACACAACAATTTGTTAGCCCACGCAAGCCCATTCTTTTTTTTTTTTTTTTCATAAGTCGTAGTTTT